TAGATATAGATATATATGTGTGTGTTTATACATATATATATATATATGTGTGTGTTTGTCTGTGTCTGTGTCTGTGTGTGTCTGTGTGTGATTGTTGTCATATACTTATATATATGTGTATGCAGGAAGTTGTGTATCTGTTCATGTCCATAAAGGAATGTCATTCACACATACAAGTGTGTGTTTGCGTGTATCCAATACTCTATAGATAGACATACAAATTTCATAAAATATCAGAGACACGGGAGGGTAACATTGTAGGCGTTCGTTGGCTCGATGAGAGATGTGCACGTGGGTGGGTGGGTGCTTGTTTGTAAACACGTGGTGCTGAAAGCGTATGTGTCATGCTCATACTGTGACTTGCGTAGCCCAGTCGTTATTACCCGCATCAACCTGTCCAAATCCCACTCGGATTGTATATTGGGTCAGCATGATCTCACTAGTGACCAACACGAGAATACCCCATCAGAGGCATGAATTGTATGACTCAGGATTTTAGGGTTTTAAATCGTACGGCTCGGAGTGTCTCGAGTTTGTCCTGTCTACCGAAACAATAGGTACGTGTCCACATATGGATTAAAGTTTCAGTTATCAGGATGTAACCATGACAACTAACCCGAAACGATTTAATTCAACTTAGGAATCGAACGAAATCAGCAGATGACGAGTCTGTGACCCGCATCTGCGCATGGTAGTACAAACTGTACGATCCCAGCAAAGTAGGAAATGAAACAGTGACAGTACTCAGTATCATCCATCCCTGTACGATCCCATCAAAGTAGGAAATAAAACAGTGACCGTACTAAGGACCATCCATCCCTGTACGATCCCAGCAAAGTACGAAATAAAACAGGGACATTTCTTAGGATCATCCATCCCTGTACGATCCCAGCAAAGAAGGAAATAAAACAGTGACCGTACTTAGGACCATCCATCCCTGTACGATCCCAGAAAAGTAGGAAATAAAACAGTGACTGTACTCAGTACCATCCATCCCTGAAGCAACTGTGCTATATTTAATCTAGGGCTATATTTCAACTAACATCTGTGCTATATTTTAACCTTGAGATTTGAGTGACAACCTTTTTAAAAATACCGATATCTGATGACTTAAGTGGAAGTGCGAGTACACACCCGAACGCAGTATATGTAGCATCACTTGGTTTCACATAATATAAAATATTACACAGTATATGTATCATCACTTGGTTTCACATAATATAAAATACTACACAGTATATGTAGCATCACTTAGTTTCACATAATATTAAATATTACACAGCATATGTAGCATCACTTGGTTTCACATAATATAAAATATTACACAGTACCCATTCATGGACAATTTCACCTGGGATAAAATGTATACATGAATGGTACGAACTATGTGTTGATAGTATGGCAACCACGAAGATGCATTCAGTCGCTTTGCCGTAGTGAGACTAGAGACACTAACTGTGAGCTTTGGATATGTAGACACAACTTTGTGAGTATTCGAGGAGTTGTCGTACAGGTGTATATGTGTAAGCGAGTGATCTGATAGTCTGCAGCAGATAGGTGTATATGTAGTCCTTGAAATATATAAAAACAAACGTGGCCCAGATCGAGACGCGTCCCATATACGAAAATGGGATAATACTTATGGTACTGAAGGTATATGAAGAATGTGATTGGTTGAGTTTTAACCTCAATATATGGGCATAGCGGACCATTGATTACAAACAGGGAGAGCGCAACTACTGGCTCAGATCAAGAGGGTGCGGATATTGTTAAAAATAAGAATAATAGGGGTATATGGACTTTGCCGTCCATTTATAGTATCTCCTGTGTACTTAATAATATTGATACAGAGGGGCGTACACTCCACTTTCGCAAACGATGGTGAGGTATATTACATGGGGAGTTGCCAGGCATATCCGTGCCCAGTATTTGGGGCGTTAACAAGGTCCGAGAGACTAATAAGTGATCACAGCATGTATGAACTGCGCTATCTGTGATGATGGATAGATCATAAAAGAAATCAGGGACATTGGGCCAGATCAAAGTCGGATCTACCTACCAACTTTTCAAGATTTTAAATATATTCCCAAATGACACCAATGCTGGCGATTTCGTGAGCTGCTTTGTCTTCACCCGCGCATACTGATAGCCGACACAGATATACAGACTCCTCTGCAGCCGAATGAATTGTTTGTCAGGCACGTGTTAGTCCATCGTATTGCACTCGTTGCTGCCTTATGCGATAAGCTAACAGTCGTCAAATCTGGACACAACGTTGTTTAAATCGTGAAGGACAAAAAAAAGCAATACACCACATGTCTTCGTCTTTGCCGCAGACTAAAAATACATCGCTCTCTGGGTGCGTTGTAGATTGAATCCAACCTTGCTAATTCGACCACACAATGCCGAACGACGCTTCCGGTCCTGTCTTCAATAGCAGACATGTGATCGGCATCTCTGCGTATTGAACGTATATGTACTGGAAAACAACCGGTCCAGGCGGGGCCGACACCGGTCACTCGCGGTCGTGCATGCAATATGACTAGATTTGTAGGAATTGAGAGTACAACAAAACCTAGTGCGAGAATCTTGGGCTAAGACATGCGGAAAGGGCTCGTACTCACTGCTAGTGTAATTACGTTGATGACCCTGAATGTCTTGAATCTAGAAGCGTCAGCCGAGAGAAGTAACTCGGGACAGCAAATGCACTTGCGCCACAGAGTGTGACTAGCATAACATTCAATGATTATCAAACAGAATATGACATACGAAGCGTACACGGATACAGCCAGTTGAAGTCACCAATTGTACCAAACCTGCCAGTTGAGAGGTGATGATGGTGAAATAATAGTAGTGAATAGTACAGCAACTGGTGTATACTGCAAGCGGCTATGTGGCAGAGAGTGCCTAATGAGCGACACTGTGTTACAGAATGGATAGCCATTGGATTTTGACCTCAGATCATTCATCAGAGAGCTGGGCCGCCGGAAGTTGTGATTTGTGTAAGGCAAAATATAAGTTTTGACGGTACATGTTGGAAAATATCAGTATGTGTGTGCCGGTCGGATGAGGTGAATATTAAGATATCCCGGTAAGAAAAAGTAGATAGATTGTAAAACGTACCCACAAATTCTCTTTGTGTTGTTTACCATTGCAGCCAAGAGAAAAAGCAATTATTCTCGCTTGCAATGGCTCCTTGCAATATATTAGGTCAGCAGTATGCTGTGCAAAATAATATAACATGCAATCTATGTCGACGTATTGTTTTCTCCTTACCACTCGAAATGATCTCTGTACCACTCGAAACTGTTAGTGGCGGAGGGTACACAATTTTAATAGAACTGACAGATTCATATTGAAATCGAGCTGTTTGTTTACTATTTATTCCGATGAATCTCAAGGTTAAATAGAATTTGTATAGATATGGATTTGTGTGGGAGTTCGACAGGTTGATACGCAAAGGCCATCATCCCCTGTCATAGTAGCATATAAATATATACATATATAGATGGACACCACAACCTGCCGTCAGAGACCTAGTATGGGTTGTATCACAAGAATCGTATTCGCTTTGGTCGTTTCTATTACCAATACCTATGGAATTCACACTGGCTCGTTCGCCGTTGCACTAACCGACGATGGTACACTTATCGGTGAGAAACCGCGGAATCCCGGCTACACGCGCCACTTCTGCGCAGAAAGTATAAACGGGGAGTATCAATCTCGCATGACTACCAGACGATCAGGTTATGTCTGCGTTTCCGAAGATGCAGGCGATGGTCAGTGTTTGACATACCATGCCTTGCAGGCGTGTTACGACACGTTTTTCAAAGACGATCTCAGTTTCTCCCGGCCTGCCCCTGACGCTTATACTGATTTTAGTAACGAAATCCCGAACGCACTCCGCCAGTGTGTATTTCTTACCACCACCGGCAAGTACATTCTTGCTACCACCTATCAGGGGCTCTCCTGCCTTGCGGCCAATAACAGTGTCGATTGTCAATTGTTTCAGGATGAACACTGCTGTGAGCGAGCCGCAGTGAACACGTCCACGGTAAATGTCGTGCCGTACAGCAACCAGCGTGTAGAGGACAATTTAAACTATTGCAGCAGGAGCTGAACAAACACACAGTCACTATACCTCTTTTCTGCGACTTTTTTGAATGGCTGTCGGCTATTTGGATTGGTGCGACTTTCACCCTGTATATCACCACTCGGGCCAAGCTCACTTGCTATATAAAACGGATGATCCGATATGGCAATCATTCGTAACTTATTTATTTCAGTGTTAGTTCCAGTTATTTGGTGAGCAAAAGGATCATAAACACCACATTGGAGCCTCACGGTCAGCATGCTAACAATATACACCAAATATGCGACGTTTAGACTATGCTTTGCGTTCCCGATGTGCACAGGTAGGTAATCAACTAAAACTAAATCGCCTTTACCTTGTATACCATATTAAACGCTTTCTAGTACCGATCGTCTAATAAAGAAGCAACTATTTTCTCTGATACTACTAGATGTGCCCGTGTGCTAACATTGCTTCCCCCGGGTTGTGATTTTTAGAGTCGATTGAATGACATATGTTATCGTGCGTTAGGTCTTGAGTTTCCTGAAAAGTTTAAAAAGTGCTTCAGATCCCACATATTGTATCAAACAACCTCTATCAGCCTTTCAATAACAGTAAGTCCGCCTGATTAGATCAAATTGTCAATAAGAACGAAGCAGTTCACACAGATTAGAGAAGACACATTATGCGTCTTTCCGTGATGGGACTGTGTACGGAACACAATCGACTTATCCCTTTATAATATAAAGGCCGCGTTTTGAATGGACCATTTCAGGTGCTACAAATATTGCATAATATTCAAATTCGGCTCACTTTTGGGCCATCTCCTATATTTGTTTGAACGGATAGCCTGCACACGTGTTCCCCAATGGCAATCACAAATAACCTAGTTCCTCGCTACCGCAGTATGAATGATATATATTAAATTCAGTTTAGATGAAGTGTTTTTCAGTATTACTATACATGAACTATTCGTGTGCGCGCACACGAGTGTTGTTATCAGAGAATGAACATGATACAAATACTAAACCAAATGCCCAAACTCTCATTTCCGAGTCCTAGGCATATCGTCAATATTATCTGACATACTATTCGAACTTAGTATGACATTGGACACTACAGCATCGGATCTCAGATATTAAGCAAAATCATCAGCTATTTGAAAGTTTATATAGCACCGCCTTTCGACCCTGATCGGTTTGTGATCGTATAAACATAGACTCCTTCAGGTATTTCAAAAACCATGAGCAAGCACTGGCTTCGCTTTTGCTGCTTTCCGGATTCTGAACTCTGGGGACCATCCACAACAGCAACAGAAGTGGGACGAAAAATTCATATATCGGTGTCTACTACCTTTTCTTTTCAGTAATCATGCGCGCTCCCATACTCCCGCCATATTCGTATGTGTAATATTTGCATCAGATAAACCGTTCTATTGTATTGATCTGTACAGCCTGCATCAAATGCTCTATATATATTCTCTGATAGACTCAGACTTTGGCCTCAGAATCTATGGACATTCGACAGAAATACATGTCCAAGACAGGCTCAATAGGCAGACAAATTTGGGCACCCACACTAATTTCGACTACGGATAAGGTAAAAAGGAAAATATAGCTGTTCGAGTGACCACCTTGTCCTCTACACCTGACAAATGATCGTTAATTTCCACAATAGCCGCGTTGTATTGCTTCGAGCACAACGGACCCGTCGCTCACCTGTACAGGTAAACTACTCATACACACGACCTCGTACGTATTTACTAAAGAGAGATTAACCATTGCAAGCAGGAATTCTGTATTCATAAGTACTAGTTAGGTGTGAAGATCGGTAACACTCGTCTTTTCAAGAGGCAACTCATTGGGTGACAAGTAAAAATGCTCCGACTCTTAGATTTTGGATAATACATGAGTAGAAGTCTTCGCTAAATGAAAAGGTTGAATCCGCAGGATAGCGATTTGGATCGAATAGTGCAACAAAACTTCCAGATAATCATAACACTGGGACAGATACCTTAACTTTTGAAAAAACAAAGATTCAACATTAGCAATGAAGATGACGTATAATCATCTATATGGTCTGCACCGAACACTGAGCAATGACTGAGTGACGGAAATGGTGTATGTTCTTCACGAATATTTACGAACGCTGCAGTAAAATGGATGGAATAGGGTATGCGATACGATCACCCTCGACTTAGGACTGTAAATCTCAGTGCTAGTTATGCCGCGGCATTCATAATATATCGGATTTGCTCGGTTCAAATGTTATAATGCGTATCTGTCTGATCACCTTAACACATGTGAAGAATATACTTGCATGTGTATGATTTATGCTAGTCGGAAGTGCACAGCTATCCGACATACACATCTTATTATGGCCGGAAGCATCGGTATGTGCAAGTGATTCCTTCGAGGTTGTACTTCTGTAATCGAGAAGTGTCTGCAGCAAAACTAATTCCGCCAGTGTTCGTACTACGTCATGGAGTGGGAAGCGCGAGGTTGTAAATATGAACCTGGGTGTGAGTGGGTGATATGAACACGGTGCTGTTGCTGACTGCATTAGAGGACCAAAATGCCTTTTATGGCCATATTAAATATATAAAATCATATTTGCTACAAAAATGAATTGTTCTATAGATGGGCATAGGCCAGAGGGCCATAGAATGGAGACCGAAGGACGAGGGACCTATTTATTTACAATGTATGAAATTGAAGTTTTCTTTATAAAATATCATGGCCCTCTGGAATCCCGAATCTGGATATAAGTCTCTCGGAAAAATGGTCTGCAGCCTTCAGGGGCAGGAAAATGCAATTTTCCTCCGGAGACCCAATCCACTATCCAGAGGGCCATGTATTTTTTTAAACAAAAATGTAATGTCACAGTAGAGAGGTATTTCCAGATTAAAAAAATCCGTATTTACTACATACCAGCATTCTGCCCCAGAGGGACTCAATCACTGACACTCAAGTGGTGCCTTATTACTCAAAGTTCAAACTGAATACCAATCCGATAAGCGAAAACTCAAACCCCCTCCCCTTGATTTTTATTTATTAAATATATATATATATATATTTTGGAGAGTGTTCAATGGATATATATGGGGGGGGGGGGGTGTAAAATAATTGTCGTTGTATTTCTTTCTCGATTCTATAAGTATAAATAAAACTATGCGGAATCATAGATCTCGAATTTAGTACACATGTAGAATGTCTTTAATGTTGTAAACATTTGCGACAAATGGGTGTCAATACGCTATTCTTGGGTTGTCAAGGAGAACCCCCGGAATAGGTGTTTTAATCTACATACAAGACAATGTCTTTGTCGTAAACTGTTCGTTTCAAATATTTGATAGTTTGTTCGCGAGCCAAAAAAAGCAGATCTGACTGATAACGGGCGTGAGAGATGAGAGTTCGAAATTGGCCAAACATCATATCATATTTATCACTTACAGATCAGGATTAGTACCGCTTCAACACGCACCCAAATTCACCATTACAAGCAAGCACTCACGCATGTACGTACGCAAGCAAGCACGTACACATACAAGGGTCATATACACGCACATAGACATTAAAATCAGGCTGGTGTATAGAGGTTTCGCGAGGTCATAGGGCCACGAATGGGGATAGTTGATCTTAGAACATCAGCTCCAAAACAAAATTAAAACGCAAAGTAGCCCATGTGGTACTGGGCGGAATACAGTTGTTTGGTATAAGTTTGCGATATATTGCAAGTATGAGCGACGATCGCCATGGGAGCTTGGCTAAGCTCGTGACGAGCAAAGACTCAATACTTACGCTGGATACACTTCTGGTATGTGATAGGAGTATAGTGCTTTCAGATGTAAACATTTATACATACATAAGTACATTCAAAGATACATACATATATACATACAAACATACATGCATATATATAT